AATCAAAATATTCTCATTTTGCGATTCAGGTATGACCAAGGTGTCATGTCATCACTAATTACGGGCAATCAGGTAACGACGTATTCTATTGCTTGCATGGGAATATATGAATCTCATTATAAAAGTTTGAGGCTACCTTCCCTGAAGTCGTAGTGGAGGCTAGCCACCCTAATCATGCAACTCTTCAGAGTTTCACAATTGCCATTTATGTATGTTTTCACCGTCTGTACGCCATCTTCTGTGCTTATACAATGCAGGAAGTAGGCTGCCTCTTCGGTGCTCTTTCCAATCTTTGGGTTGGAGATAAGCTCGGTCGCCGTAGAACAATCGCTTTAGGAGGCAGTATAATGATGATCGGTAGGTGAATCATATCGCGTTAAGAGCACCAGCTGAATTCCTCAGGGGCAATTCTGCAAACGACTGCATTTTCTTTTGCACACTTGATCTTTGCTCGTATCTTTACGGGCTGCGGAACTGGTCTGATAGTCAGTGGTGCTTATTATTGGCTCCAAAGTCCTGCTGAAACAATTTTGTAGACATCGACAGTGCCAACATATCATGCGGAGCTCTCCCCCTCCGCAAAGAGGGGTCGAATGTATGCCATTCATATGCAATACGATAAATGACTCACAGAACTCTTCTAGGATTATGATGGAGGGGACTCTGATTGTGGCTGGAGTGGCCATCGCGTGAGTGCGTCATTGTATTTATTTATTTTGTTAAATTGATTGCTGTCTTACAGCTATGTACGCGAGCCGTTATTTCCATTCGTTCATTTTTCTGACGTGGTTCTTTAGTGGATCGATTTAGCACTGTACGTTTCGGTGTCATACCCACGTTAGGCTTGACTGACCGATAAAAACGATCAAATCAGATTCTTCGTGAATTGGTCGTCTGCTCAGTGGAGAGTTCCGATATCACTGCAGTTAGTGTTTGAAATTATTGTGGTGGCATGCATCGGATTTGTGGGTTCTCTCCCCCTAAAAATGTGCATACTTGTACTAACGGATTCGATCTGGCACGCTACGTAAGCTTCCTGAGTCACCGAGATGGTGAGTTCTTGTCATTCTCTGTGGTTTTTGCGAAGCTGATCAGAATCTTAGGTTGGTAAAGCATGGTCGAAATGCAGAAGCGATGGCCGTTATATCCGCAATGGAGGACAAACCTCCATCTGATCCAGAAGTTCAGCGCACCTACTACGGCATTCGCGAGGCTGTTGCTGTTGAAACATCTACTACTGGTCAAGGTTCACTACGTGAACTCATTACCGGTGGTCGCAGCCAGAACTTCAGACGAACAGTCATTGCTGTGGTATGTCAGATGATGCAGCAGCTGACCGGCATCAACCTCGTTACCTAGTGGGTATCTCAGCTCCATGTTGTGACTCGTCGTGATCTAAAAATGCGCTCTCAACAGTTACGCTGTATGTTATACCACCGCATGATCTACTGTGGCAATACTGATATCACGCAGACCATCTTATTCCAGCGTCTTGGTCTCTCCGATGTCAACGCGCGGATTACTGCTGCTGCCAATGGCACAGAATATTTTCTTGCCTCTTTTATTGCTTATTATGCGATAGACTATGTAGGCAGGCGTCAACTCATGCTGATTGGAGCCATCGGTCAATCCATTGTGATGCTGCTCTTGGCTATCTTAGGATATATCAACAATGGACCAGCGCAGATCATGAGCGTAGTCCTGTTATTCGGCTTTAACACATTTTTTGCTATTGGGTGGCTCGGAATGGCCTGGTTGTACGTGAGTACAGCAACGGCGATTTTAATCTTTTTTTGATCTGATATTTTTTTGTTGATTTCTAGTGTGCTGAACTTGCCGGGCTCAGAACCCGTGCACAAGCAAATGCACTAAGCACAGGTTTGTCACTCTCGTACGCCAAGACATGGATATAAATTTAACTTACCTATTCTTTTCCCAGCGTCAAACTGGACTTTCAACTTCGTCGTCGTGATGGTCGTTGGCCCGTCCTTTAACAACATCTCCTGGAGAACCTACATCGTTTTCGCAGCCTTGAATGCAGCTATTGTTCCAGTTGTTTACTTTTTCTTCCCCGAAACCGGCGGTCGGTCTTTAGAAGGTGAGCTTTGCGCGTCTTCCGCTTAGCTCCTGGCTAATTGTATTATGAAAGACCTCGACGTTGTGTTTGCGCTGGCGCACACTACTGGGGAAGATCCTGTTAAGGTTTCGCTTCGGAAAGACATCCCGCTCGCTGGGTCCCGAGAAGCAGACGAGATTCTTGGTGTTAGCACAGGCGTTCAATATTATCAAGCGACGAAACCTTCGGCATCATTCTCGTTATCGAGTGAGACAAGGACACCGGTCTAGGGTCGATAGTCACTATTCAAGGTTAGTTTCGGTTGAACTAGACAACAGTCGGGTGTATGACTTCTGGAAAAAGTGTATTCATAAAGTATGTGACCTGAGCCAAGATGGCCAGTCAACTCAGTCGAGTATGTAGTTTCTTGTGTATGTATTTCGTAGTCATCAATTCAAACCCTTCCAATTACAGCCGATTCCAAAACTATGTGGAATCACAGAATCAAAACTTGCGCGTCGGAAATGTCCGGACAAGGACCCTGTAAGTGCATGAGTGAAACATTTGCAGTAGTGCTGGTGTACATATGTGATTCAATGCTAGTAATGTTCTGGCCCAGCTTGGCCCAAAAGTTACAGCTTTGGCCTGGCCCTGAGCTGTGGGCCTGTGACTTGAATAGTGAAAATGTAGTTAGTGATCTGGAGGTCAAGGCTGCTTACAGACGTCGCATGCTCCAATCTAGTGTATGCAGTGCCACATCCATCAGGAAAACCCTCCGCTACAAATTTAGGCTAAGTATGTAAAACTTTCTCTAATTTATGATAATTTCAATAAAATAGACAACTTAGTGGTTTAGAGAGACTTTTTTACTGCCCCACAAGGAATTCTTTATGCATGATAAATTAGTGATCATTATGTTCAACATCAGGCAAACTTACAACCAAGAATGCTCACCACACCCTGGCAGGAGTATTATGTCAGAAATTTATGAAAGTGGTTGCAATGACGTGTAGTGCTGCCGTGGTCCGGTCCAGAACTGTGGTTCGAACCCAACCAACGGTCTGGTTCTAGACAGTCCGGTCCACCGCAACACCATCGAACCTAACTGAACTGAAGTATGGTTCTCAGTCCATGTTGTCTGGGATGGTTCTTCATCGGTTCTGAACCTGTTCTGAATGGTTCTGAACCTCATGTTGTTAGTATCTTTTCGGATGCGAAGATGAGTTCTGCTGTTCGCCTTACTAATGCTAAATACAGCGAGTTTCAATTGCAACTTGGTGATATTTTTCGTTATTGTTCTACAATGACTGAATTTAACTCATCTGCATGTCGTGCAGACGGGAGCCTCAAGGATGCATCCGAGATCACATTCTACCATGATGCTGACAACATCCCACTACCTCCATCTGGTATGCAGCCAGCCTCATCCAATGCATTCTCTGTCCTCTTGAATTCTGGACAGCAATCAGCCTCATTTGTTGCTGGCGCTAGACGCTCTGGTTGACCAACCAAGCCATCTGCTCGTCTTCGTGACACTGATAATCTCTGTCATGTGTCATCGTCCGCCCGCAAACGAGCCTTATCAAGTGCAGCTGACATGCCAAAGGCAAAACGAGCTACCATGTGAGCAGTCGACCCTGATGATGATTGTGATAGTAGTCCTCTCCAGATGTGTAGAATTTCACTGTACATCTTATTTTCGAAAATATGATCTATGTTTTGGTCTGGTTCACGTTCGAACCCTGATAGAACTGGACATGACCATTCTGAACCATTCTCATTGGTTCGGTTCTGTGTTCAACGACATGCCCTGGACTGGACGCAGGTTCAGTTTCTGGTTCTTACTCACCCCTCACTGAACCGGACTGAACCGGACCATGGCAGCGCTAATGACGTGATGTTGACACGCTGTTTGCATGCCATTGAAATCAATTGAAATGCCTCCTGAAATGATAAGGTAATCTGATGGCTGAGTTTCAATATATTGCAAGTCCTTTGTAACATTAAATCATCGCTGTTATCAGCGCCTGCAGTACACTCTTTGCGTTCTAGTGCATTCCTTGCTCTATTTCCCCACCTCAACTCTGTGTGTATACAGCTGTACAATACTGTCAACTACATGGGTAGTGTTGCCGCGGCTCCAGCTTGTTGCCGGTGAAGGTACTACAATTCAGATGGTGAGTCTGAACAATGTTGGGTCTTGCAGAACCTAGCTGCTATTCGACCCTAAAGGGTTTCTGGACCAGGCTCAAGGCTCAGAGAAGAGGAAATATGATAGAAACTTGCTGAATACTCAGACTCATAGTAGAACTGGTGAAAAGGTAACTTCCTTATGTAAGCTACAAAGTGCCAACATAAGGTAAGGTAAAAACAGTCTCTACAAGCCTAGCCAGAAATGAATCCCTACACCGGTTCTAGCCGCGGCCCGAGCTAAAAATAGCTGAGTTGACAAGTGGTTACGGCTTGTGTAATTACGGTTTGGCCCGGCTCGAGTAGTTACAGCTAAGTTGACTTAAGGGCTTAAAACCAACTCTATTAATAATATATTCTAAAATTATATAAGCCAAAAATAGATTGACAATTTAGGACTCCAGTCATCGAGAACCGTGATGAGAACTCAGAGCAGATTGTCGATCACATCAATTCACAAACACACTCAAACGCACTCTACATTTTACAATAACTTTATTGATATCAATGGGTCCGCAAGACAAAGTAAGTAATTACTGATAATGTTTAATCAAAAACTAAAATAAATCACTAGTTATACAGTACTGCGACTTGCACAAGAAGGTTGCGAGAGCAGCGCACATCAGCGCAAAACACAGAGAGACCCATTGAAAGGCAGTGGGGAGTTGAGAGAGCTGTTGAAATCCAAGGAGGAGGGGAAAGGACCGTTCAGACAACTCGGAGATCCAGGTGGGGATGTTACCTGAGGCGACTTCTAGGTCACGGTCGCGGGGGCAGGGATTAGTGTTGAGATTGAAGAGAGGTATGGGTTGTGAACATTTGTGAATAGAATAGTCTTCTCGATCGAAATGTGAACAAGTGTTGTTATTGGCGATGATCGAATGGTGGGCAATGACTTGAGATCAGCGTGGTCTGAACTTGAACGAGAAACGACGGACTCACTCTGCGAACAGTAAGCAACGAGTTTGGATCAGCGTGGTCCAAGCTCGAACGATAATCGACGTTGTGGTAGATCGTGCAGATGTTCCTTCCTCAAGGAGACTGCTAGTCTGTTCTTGATTATGCGACTCCTCGACCACCACTTCTTCTGTTTTTATTGTCTTGATAGGAAGCGAGTCATCAGGTTGCTTCACACTCCAATCTCCAGTAGCACTCTCCTCGACACGGTGCCTGTTCTTCTTGATGTGTTGCAAATTTGCCTCTCTTTGAGCTGGTGAGGAATTCACCTGTTGACTGACAGTCCATTCAGTCCATTCATTGCCATCGCTAGCGAGGATGGTACATGACTTGGGAGTGCTGGGCAATGCGACCTTTTTAGAAGTCGGAGGTGGCCCATTTGGTAGGGGAGAAATGGACAAATCCAGAGGGAATTCAGAAGCCAGTTGAGTCGAATACCAAGGTGCATCTGTGATCACCTGTCTCCCAACGTCAGTGGAAGCTGATACAAATGAGAGCGCTGAAGGTACAACAATTCAGATGGTGAGTCTGAACAATGTTGGGTCTTGCAGAACCTAGCTGCTATTCGACCCTAAAGGGTTTCTGGACCAGGCTCAAGGCTCAGAGAAGAGGAAATATGATAGAAACTGCTCAAGACTCAGACAGACTCATACTGGTAACTGGTGAAAAGATAACTTGATTATGTAAGCTACAAAAGTGCAAACATAACACTAAGGTAAAAACAGTCTCTGCAAGCCCAGCCAGAAATGAATCCCTACAGCGCATCGAAAGACTGACGAGTCCAAGTGATTTGTTTCTTCAGATTCTCGGTCAACTCGATTTGGTGAGACAAAGCCTTTTTATAGTCATCGACCGCCTCAATCTCTTCTTCAGTCATACCATCCTCCTTCTCGACAGGAGGCCCGATATCAGCAGAAAGCTGAAGTAGTGCTGCACTGTGTTGAGCCAGAGTCCTTTCTCTCGGCATGTCAATCAAAGCCGGGTTCTGAAAAATAAAGCGTGACGCACATCGTGCAAGTTACAGAATGCATAAACGTTAAGTACATTCGTGAAACTTGGAGCCAAGCATAGGTATTGGAAGAAACTGGAGAAGATGTGCCAAGGATCCCACTGAAACACGGGATCAGACAGTGTCATTTCGAACAGATACAACTCACATAGAGTAACGATGCAATGAGGTAGATGCCTATCTCGTGAATGAGCTAAGGAATCACTACAAAGCATGAGGCACAACATACCGAAAGTGGAGACCATCACGACAATCAAAGGACCAACAGGGGGCATGAAGAAGGTAATAATGCCCTGTTGTACTTTCCGGGGGTGTTTCATTGCTTGGCCACACAGTCTGAACAGTTTGGTCTAACAATACTTGATCTATATGACTGCATGGTGAGTATAATGAGTATAACATCACGAAGCAAAGCTACCTTCACCAGGGTCTGAGTTGCTTTGCCGCACATTTATAGACACCCAAGATGAATGATACGCAGGCGGAAGCCTTTCTGCAGGCGCGTCATGGGGGGGAATCAACGTGCTGGCATCATCTTCTCGAATGTATGGCACCACTTCAGAGAAATCATCATTCCCAAGATATGATGGGCCAATTGACGGGTTCAATGACTGGACCTGCTCGGGGCTCAAAGAATGTACCACTGGGAGAGTAGACTCCCCAGACTCATGATGGCGCCGGATAGGACTTAAACTGCTGTATCTCTGAGTGGCTACCAGGGAATGTTGTGAGTTCGTGAGTGAATACATGAAGAGTACAAGCACCTGCTTCGGCATCCATGAAGGACGCTCCATAGACAGGCTGGACACCATATGATTGTCCCAGAAACACGGATGGCATATCCTTGATCATGTGAGGCCGTTTACCTCGTCTGTAACAGTAAACACCACCGAGCACTGCAATTATGGTGAGCGCAGCACCACCCACTGCACCAATGATGATGGCTGTCCGTGAAGTAGACGAAGCCGCTGAATTAGTATTCACAGAGCTGGTATGGAATGCAGAGACAATAGTTGTGACAATGGCAGAGCCACCTGCAGTAGGGGCCGTCGTAGATGTGGGGAGGGATGCTGAAGGTGAGACTTGATTCGGGCAAACTGTGAAAGTATTGTTGTTGTTTATCGCCTGCTGTTCTACTGCATAATCTGCTGTCCATCGACTGGGTCATTGTTAGGAACGAACTACTGTCTCCTTCACTATTTGACTCACTAATACCTGGCTCGGGGTCAGACAAGTACTGCGTGCGTTGAATAGACTTACCAGGATCCATTGGACCAATAGGATCTATTGTACAGGAAGTTATCGATCTTGATGTTCTCATTGCACACAGCCTGTTGAATATTTGCTGGAAGCCTAATTATACCACGTAGTCTTGTGAGTGGGTGCATTGCCTTCATTCTCACTTTACTCACAATTGACGTCTTATTCTTCAGTTGGCTGGGAATGGTCTACCAGAAAGTGCATCGTCAGGATAACATAAGCAAGCACCCGAGAACAGTGAAACTCACAGTGAATGCCTTGCCAGTTAGCCAGAATGAACACACGAGAAGGTAAACAGCCAAGAAGGCATAGACCCTGCACACAAGTCAGCTTGAATAGAATACAGACTCTGACTTGAAACAAACCATAGTGTGATTGCATATGCCGTCTGTTCACCCTTTGGTCTGTTACCAAGAGCTAGCACAAACTGCAGCACGAGGAAGGCAAGGTAAATCCATTTGAAACACAAGTTTACCCAGTGTGTCAGATCAGCATGGTGCGAGCTCAAATGAGGATCGACAGACTCACTCTGCGAGCGGTGAGCAACGAGCTTGGATCAGCATGGCTGTTGTCGAACAAGGATCGACACACTCACTCCCTGCAAACTTTGATCAGTGGGCCGAGCTTGAAGGAAGATCAAAGCACTCACATACCATGAACAGTGGGCAATGACCATGGCATAAAGCCATTGTCGCAGTCAGTGCTGATGCCTAGTTCAGATATTAGTTAGGGTGAGATATCCATCAAAAAAAAAATCAATTGATAGTCAAGGTCATTAATGACAAAAGTAGTAGCAGTAGTATGAGCAAGAACATAGAAATAGTAAAGGTAGCAGTAAAGAAAAAAATTAAGAGACACATGTAGACGTCGTTGCGATATCATCTGGAACATCATCGCATTCGTCCTCTGCGATGACTCTGAGAAGGGCCTCGTAATCGTGACTGCCAGAAGTTGTTGCACTGATGGCAGATATCAGTATGTCACCACAGCCAGATGCCAAGAGATCTTCATGGCTCGCTGAGCCCATGACACACATCAAGTCATACTCCATATCCTTTTGGGATGCTGACCAGCCCTTTGTGAAGTGGAGTCGCTCTTTTTTCAGCGTGAACTTGGTCATTTGTAAGGCTTCCATCAAGTAAGGACTAATGTGATTGCATTTCTTGGTGAATGTATCACTGCTGGAGGAAAATACGCGCTCGCATGGAACGGCAGAGGCTTGGATCGGGAGAAAGTCCATGGCGATTTTATAGAGTGTTGGAAAGATTGATTTTGAAACCTAGTCCACCATCAGTACCTCATCATCAACAAATCCTGTAATAGACTCTTACCGTCCAAAAAGATAGAAGATCTGTCCCTCTGGGACTAAGAACACCTGTGCCATAAGCATTGAACTCGTCTTCAACTGATTGAGGGCCGCCCTGGTGACGCGGCAGTAAGTCCAACTCAGGAAGTCCATAAATCGTCGAGCCTAGAGTTGCAGGGCGTGGCTGACAAGTCGATTCATCGGATTGCACGGAGACATCTGTTGTTCTCTTGCTCCGCATCTGTGGGACATATCAATCCAAAGTTCGCTGTTATTATTATCTGGCAGACGTATCAGTTGGAGAATATAGTTTTTCGCCTGTGTAATTCGCGGCACTGACCAATGTTCATTTATCCATGACAGATGTCTTGTGGGGTCAACAACTATACACAACGATGAGAATTTATCCTTATTGAAGCATCGAAAAGACTCACACATTGCAACAGCATATGCTCCTGTTAGGCTCATCCGGTCATCGTACTTGGCTGCCCACATTAAACCTATAGTGACAAAAGGTGCGCAATGTGGGACGAGCCCCTTCAGTGACAAATTCCGTATGCCACCCGACCTACATAATATCCCGTATGAGATGGGCCAGCAGATTATGGGCCCATGTTGTGTATATTCTTGATGATGACGGATGGGCTGGGACACATATTATTTCCGATGGAGACGGGTGGGCCCATGTATGCCAATGATATATATATCCTTGATGTTGACGGATGGGCTGGGGGAATATGATCATTCATGGAGATGGGTGGGCCCATCTGGGTAATATGTAGAGTAGGATATTATAGACAGCTGGGCTGAAGAGAGATGTAAGGCAAATATTGTTATATAGACGGGCAGGCTGACGGGGGTGTATTACATATATGGGTGGGCTGAGGTAGGGGAATATTACATAGATGGGTGGGCTGACGTGGGGTGTATTACATATACAGGTGGGCCGACGTGGAAAGTATTACATATACGGGTGGGCTGAGGGTGTGATAAAATATTTATTACATAGACAGGTGGGCCGAGGTGGGGTATAATTATATAGATGGGTGGGCCGACGTAGGATGTATTATATAGATGGGTGGGCCAACATAGGATGTATTACATAGACGGGTGGGCCGACGTGGGGGATAATACATAGATGGGTGGGCTGACGTGGGGGAATTGTACATAGATGGGTACATATATGGGTGAGCCTAGATACGTTTCATCAAGACATACAGCTGATGTAGCCACCAGCAATCAAACACGTAGGATACATGTACACTATGAGTGCATATACCTACCATCGACCACCGAATCTAAACCCCTAAGCACGAAAACATGAATCGACCATGTGTGGCATTGACCAATAATTGAGGACTGAAGTGGAAAAACCCCACACCTGAACCCTGGTGTGCAACATATCCTATTTCTGAGCATGGACACCAGAAGCACAACACTCACAAAAATATAAATGTCAAATTTTCAGTGCAAAACCCCAAACCGAGATTTACCAACCCCCAAACCCCGAAATTGTGGAGTGCTGGGTTTCGGGGTTCGGGGGTCCTGGAACTCGGAACTTGAGAAATTTGGGGAGATCAATAAAATTTGATTTACAATCGAGTTGATTGACAAACACATTGACTTACCCATGTTTGAAATATATTTTTGTTGTCTCACATACCAAGTTCCGAGTTCCGGGACCCCCGAACCCCGAAACCCGGCACTCCACAATTTCGGGGTTCGGGGTTAATAAAATGTGTATGGATAGATGAAAGGTTGATTCAAACATTTTTGAAAGATGTCTCATATCAAATGTCAAGTCCTGAGTTTTGAATTCCGGGTTTTGGGACTCCAGTGTAGAGACTTGTGCCTCTCATTGTGCAATATTGCAGTTTTCACTAGGGAGTACATGGCACGAACTTGTAGCATCACTCTGTATGCTATCCACAGCTATTCTTACATGAGGCGCAGCTTTCCCACGCATCACGCAATGTGCGCACAACTTCCCACGCTTCATGATGTATATGCGCGCGCGCTTTCCCGCGCTTGAGCGCCCTATAGCGCCAGCCATCCAGAAGCATCCATCCACTGTCCACCAAGTTCCCTAGTGCGTATATTTCCATTTCTCACATTTGCATATTGTTCCATCTTTATTTTTATCATGGACCCTTACTTACATATATCCTTACATGCCTTACTCGGTAGCACTTTGGCTCCACATGACAGCGCTTAGGCGCCATACTTAAGCGCCAGCAGTACATACTATTACTGACTTACTCACCCACAAGAATGACAGAGGACTGAACGACAACAATACCCAATTACTACCTAGCAGAGCATAGTTGAAATCTATTCCTTAGCACCTCACATATAACATCTCTCAGCTTGCATCTCTCACCTCTTGTCTAGTGTCTAATCATCACCTCAGCAAACTCACTCTTACTCTCACTTGTTTCCACATACACGCGCACGCATTCCCGCGCCTCGCGCGCACCTGCACTTTCCCGCGCTTCGCATTTGCCAACCAGTAGTGCCTTCGGCGCCTACTACTAGATCCTTGCTGCACTTGCTTCCCCTTTAGGGTCGAACACACTTGTCGTCTCAAGTATAGCAGACTAGGCAATGTGCGACCTTACAACATTTATAGATACAGGTCAGGAGCATTGTTTGTGCCTCAGCTGTATCGTTGAACCTTCACCAGGTTTCAGGACTCTGGGCTTCAGGGACTCAGCACTCCAGAAACCCGGAAATTCGAAACTCGGGACTTGACATTTGATATGAGACATCTTTCAAAAATGTTTAAATCAACCTTTCATCTATCCATACACATTTTACCAACCCCCGAACCCCGAAATTGTGGAGTGCCGGGTTTCGGGGTTCGGGGGTCCTGGAACTCAGAACTCGGTATGACACAACAAAAATATATGTCAGGGTTTGGGGGTTAGTAAAATGTTTATAGATATACGTAGGTTGATATAAACATGTCTGAAAAATGATGTTCGTCTCAAATGTCAAATCCTGAGTTCCAGGTTTCGGGACTTGGCACCCAGCACCCGGCACTTGGGGTTCGGCACTGAAAATTTGACATTCAGGTGTTAGGGTTTAGGGTGATATCTACCTCAATCTACAGTTTCGAGTTCTGGATATTGGGACTGATCATTAAATTATTCAATTGTGGCATAGGTAACATGCATTGAAAAAGATTTATGTACATCTATCACTGAGCAATTATGTAGCCATTTCAACCTCCTCACCAGGAAGATCAACCTTCCCCTCAACATCAATCTCCTCATCAGAAGAATCATATTCTGGCAGGAGGTTACCTGGTTCATTAGGGACCACAATATTGCCAGAGGATTCTGGCAAGAGGTTGCCTGGTTCATCCGGGAGCACAATTTCGCCGGAGGATTGTGGACCCTCAGGCTGAACTTGGGTGGGCTCAACCATGAGACCTACCATAGCAGA